GGTAAGGCGAGTCTGCAAGTGAATTTCACAGATGTCAATATTCATTGTGTGTAGTTTTATTTCAGTCCCCAGATCGCTTTTCCATTTTAATTTGGAGCTAACAGCAGCCCATGTGTCTATATCAATTTTCTGAGTGCGGTAAAATGATAGACTCTGCAATTTACACTCCCCCTTTTAATTTCACATTCTTTATCTTCGCCCTCTCTTCCATTCCCTACCTTCTGCAAGTGTTTTATTTTGTTTCTGTAGCTGCAGTGTGCAATGATTCTTCCTGTATATTGCCTTTTTTTGCTGGAAAAATGTTGTATGTTGAATAAAAATTTTCTATAAAATTTTACTTCAGTGAGTGATGACCTAGATGTTGAGGAAGATCTCTGCTCTCCTTGCAAGTATGATTTTGTGGAAATTTTGAGAGATTTTTCATTTTCATTTTGTTAATACTCAGCTTTGAAATAAGGCTTTCTTTCAGGACTACAAGTAAGTCCGTCAATTAGTTATATTTCTACATGTTGTCCGGCAAAATAGGTATTATTCATAGAAACTGACTGCAGAATGAAATGGAAGTATTTCCATGTAGTTGTATCTTCCCCATATGTGTTATCCCTAACCCTTTTCCTTCCAGTTGAGCAAAGGTCATAATGTTCTTCATTTGTGTAGTTATTACAAGGACTCCTACTGCCTTCCTGTTAGTTAGTTAGTTAGTTAGTTAGTTAGTTAGTTAGTTAGTTATTTAGAGTATTTGTATGCCGTCCCATCGCATAGCCTCGGGACGGCTTACATAAGATAAAACATAATACACATAAAATTCAGATCCACCCTGGCTGCAGATTAAAACCTATAAGCTGATATTAAAAGTTATTAAAATATTTTTGAAATAAAAAAAGTCTTAGCCTGGCGCCGAAAAAAAAATGACAGCGCCAGGCAGACCTCTCTGGGGAGTGCATTCCATAGGTGGGGCACCACCGCAGAGAAGGCCCTCGTCCGGGTACTGTGAGGGCTGTTGTGTTAAAGAAAAGAAGCATTTTGGGTCCCATGGGGGGGTCGTCCCCTGGAGAGCAAGCTGGTGTGATTTGGTCTACCTCGGGCACAACTTACTTTGCTTTAGGTCTGTCTTTTGGATCATCTGCTCCCTGGTCTGTTTCTTCATCAATGTACGTGGAGTCCCCTTATTTTCTGACCACTCTTTCTGAGCGGACGCAGTCTGCTTGCTTCTACACAAATGGGGGTGCATGGATCTTTGCAAAGGTAGCTTTTCAAGAGATGCCTGGAATGTGTATTTGTTGGCAGAGTTAGATGACATTTGCAGGTGTAGGTATGTCTTACAAGGATGAATTCTGCCAATTCAGACAAATACAGGTGGGGTTTTTTTGCAAAAGCTTTTCTCACTGTTTCAAGAGGACAACAAAGGTTTTGATTCTGGTTCCTGTTTTGTGGGCAATTTGTATAAAAACAGTGCATCTATCAGAGAGAGGGAGGTAAGAACCTTGCAAAAGTTCAGGCTGAGAGGTGGAACGAGAGTCTTCCGTGTTTTGAGGAAGGTCTCTCTTAACATGCGTTGTAGAGGTGCCCCGAAATAAGAGACCCGTAGCAGAAGAATAGTTGCAGGGTTTCGGGCAGGGGTGGGCAAACTCGGACAGTATCTGGGCCAGCTCCGCACAGGCCTGAAGTGGACACATTCCCTCCGCCGCTGCATCCAGCGTGCCAGCGGAGTTCTGCAGCACGCCAACTGCTCTGAAGAGTGCGCTGCCTTCCAGGAAGGCGAATGCTTTGAAGATGGCAGAGCTGTGGTGGCTTGTGCAGCCGAGGAGCAGGCGGGGCACGCCAACGCTGAAACGCCTGCAGGACGGGCAGCAGTGCTCCGGGCCCTCCCTGGGGTGGTGAGCGTGTCCTAATCAAAACCGAGCTCCCACAGGCGAGTGCCCGGTGGATGTGCCAATGCAAAGCAGAGGGGGAGGGGTGGAAATCGCGGCTGGCCAGGGATTTCTTGCAAGGTGCCAGACTGGTAAGCAGGACAGGTTCCGTGCTTCCCTGGAGTGTAGGGACCCAGCCAGTGGGTTCAAAGGGCAAGGGAGGGATGCCAGCCAAACACGAGACAGGACTGTGTGCCAGCATCGACTGTTCCGCAGCGGGATGAGGCAGCGGCAGCCTCTAGACGTTTAGAAGCAGCGGCTGGATGGCCTCCCAGGTTTCCAGCACTGCAGCAGGTTAGGTTCGATAACCTCTGGAAAGCCGTCCCTCTTCTTCAGGTTGGGCTACTGGTGTTCTGCCATATCTTGCTCTCGCTGTGGCTGGCAAAAGTAGCGTGAGTTTTGCAGTGTGACCAGTGCAGAATCTGCCCAGTTAAATCTGCAGGTTTGTGGGGTTTTGTTTTTAAGTAGAGTACCTGCAGCACTGGAAATATAAGCATGGTGGCTTTTATTTTATGTTCTCAGGTCCTTTTGTGTTTTTCCTACCATGTCATAAAAGAGCACCCTAGTGGTATACAAAGCAAAGCAGTGCCCTGTTTTCTTTTGAGTTGGTTTTCTGCTCAGATGGTTTTGGAGAGAGTTGTTTAATGGCAGCGGCAACCAACTTTCCAAAGTTTCTCATGATGCCTAGCTGTTACCACCCGAACACAGGGTTAGAAAAAAAGTGTGTTTATCCAATGGTGAATTGAGATACTTTGTGATCAGTTTAGTCCTTGTGGCTAGGGTGTTTTCTCCAAAGCTGTGCAAGTAAAGGAGCTTTGAGTTTGCTGTATCAAAATCAGTACTAGTACTGACTCTTCTTTGCAAAACCAGGCATACTTAATCAAGAGGTTAGCCATACTCAGAAGCATTGCCTTGTAACGGGATGGTTGTTGTGCTCTCAGGTGGGGACCCAGAATGGCCAGTGGGACATTAGGCTGTACCTGTTCTTTTCTCTCAAGCGCCCCACCTGCTGGCATCAACCTGCCGCCCCGTCATCCACACCCTGTGGCGCCAGGAGGGCGTGGTTGGCCTCGCTGCCTCATCTGTACCTGCACCTCTGGCTGCCGGGAGACAATGCGGTCTCCAGGACCACTGGCGGGCTGGGTGGGAGCCTGTCCCTTTACTCCTGGGACCTGGAGGCTTTGGAAGGTTCTCTTCCGATCTTGCGAAAGGCAGCGCGTATCTGTGTGATGCACAGACGACCACCCGAAGAACAACAGTTCCAGGGAAGCCGCCTGCCTTTCCCAGGCACCTAGATTCTCAGGAACAAGTGGGAATGTGAGGTCACCCCTAGGGCAGCAGAGTCCAACGCAAAGCAAAACCCAGTCTTGCCGTGGAAGGTGGGCAGCAGTCAACACGGCCTTTTGTGAGTGGGGCGGACGGGACAAAGGGCCATGGCAAGCCAGAAGTGGCTCCCAACCGGGGAGACAAGCCAGCCTTCCACAGGTTCCCCTTGAATCCCCCTGGGGGGAAAGGGGCATCAAGTACCCTGGCTGGGTTTGCATGGCATCACAAGCTGCTTTGGTGGGGGTTCTGCTAGACCCCTGGCGCCCATATAGCGTGGGAGGGGCAATATGCCGCTGCAACCAAAGTGAGGCCAAAGTGTGTGTCTGCACCCAGCGGATGCTCCTCCCTCGGGACTTCCTTGAAGCGAGCCCCGTGAGCCCCTTCCTTGCCACCAGGCACACAAGGGAACTGCCCTCCACTGCCCCGGCAGCCGTGCCAGCCTGGTGCACCCGGAGGGCACTGGCTCCATCAGGATGGGAACTGCCCAGTTTGGAGGCTTCACTGAGTTTGTAGAGAAACTGCTGTCCACCAAAGCAAAGAATGACCTTTTATGCTTTTAAACAGGATTTCAGATTTGTGGGAAGCCGAACTTTGCACATTGTTCTATTCTGTGTATACTTGATCTAAAGAAATTAAGAGACCAAAGAGATGACCCAGAAATCATTTTTCTAAACACGGGAATATTATTTCTACAGCATAGCTTCACACGGTCCAAAACTCTTTGTTTCCGATCCAAATAGGCAGCTTTCTCAGATACAGAATTGATAATAAATATGTGTGGCTCGTGACACTTAACACAGGAGCAACCTTTGGGCTTTCAGGATGCACTTTGCTTTCATTAGGGTCCTCACGTCCATCAACTGGATCTGGGTGCAAGAAGAATGGAGGAGCGGGGGTGCCTCTGAGCCCATGTTCTGCCGGAGAGTGGTTTTTTCCATCCCCGAACCAGAGCCACATTTGCTTTCCCCCATGTGTGGTTCATTTCAGACGCCCGATTTGGCAGAGGAAAAGCCCCTCTGTGGTCCCAGGGCTGGCTTTTGACAGCTGCCTGAGGCAGAGCAGCACGTCGAGGGGCAGTGGGTCAACTGAGTTACTGGGGTGCTTGGGGCCAGAAATACCTGGCAGGAAATGTGTTCACATCCCACTAAATAGCTACCCACTTGCTGCCCTTCCTTTGTGTGCAGAATCTGCTTCCTGAGGCAGCCCTTTATGCTGCCTCAGCAGTTTGATGGGAGTTCGAACAGCAAACCAACCAGAAGATCCCCAAGATCTGCTAGCAGGTCCAGGCTGCTGCTGGTCTCTGTCCTCAAATAATGTCTGAAGGTCACCAATATAATAAACCAGCAAGGGGGGGGGGAGGACTGACTGGTCAGGCACTGGCAGATGCCATGGGGGCAAAGGCAGTTTTTGGCGCTTGCCAGTGCGGCATTGTTGACTGAGCAGGAAAAGGCTGCGCTGGCCTGGATTCAGGCAGGCTTGAAAATGAGCCTAACAAAAGGGTGTGAAGCAAGCCAAGAGATGACGAGCCAAAATGAGCAGGATTCCCAGGAAGGTCAGCTGGCACATTGTTGGCCTGCCGACCAGATCTCCTCTGTGCTTCCATCTGCAGGATGTGGAGCCAAATGCAGCCACCCCATCCTAGCTGAACGTCAGGCAAAATCAGTATGGCAGGGCTGCGTCCATGGCCCAGCACAGTCCAAGACGGGACAGAGGAGGAAAAGATTCTCTTGCAGCAGATCCCCGAGACCGTCTGGAAGCGGTTGCCTACAGCCTCTTGTAGCGGTAGATGTGGTACTGGCAGCAAGGACAGTAATGATCAACGTCCTTACAGCACTTTGTGAAGAACGGGATCAGGAAGCAGCCCAGGCAGCCCCTGTAGGGAGGGAGGGAGACACACAGTGTGAAAAGGGTAATCTTGCTTCAGATGACCGGGCCACGTCTCGGCTAATGGCACCCGTTGCGTTGGGGAGGTTTGCTGTTTAAAAGACCATCTATAATCGATCGGGTCTGTTCCCAGCAATATGGCAACAGCAAACCCAGCTCCAGTGAAGACATAAAAGACTGCAAGGAAAGCTCACAGGTTGCTATTCAGTGGCTGGCTGAATAGCAACCTGTTCATATATGTGTCTGTCTAAAGTAAAACCACGTTTCGTCCAACGGGGCTTACTCTCAGGCAGTGAGGTTCTAATGGTGCCAAGGTTCCCGAGAAAGAGTAGCTTCCTGCAACTGCCCCACGCCACCTCCTTAGCTGAGGTGCACTTTGGCTCCAGAAGAAGAGCTACATGGAGAACAGTGGAAGGTGATCTTAAAGTGTGGGGAAGTTGGGGCGGGAGTCCCATCGAGCCAAAAGAACTAGTTGGGTCTTCCAATAGGCAGCCTTCCCGTGGTTTTTGTGCAACGTTCCAGCTCCCTGTGGCCTTCTAACCTTTCCCTGCTTTTTTTCCGGAGTCGCTTTTCACGATCTCTACTTTTGACCATCATTGACAGCCCCTCCAAAATGGCCAAGGGACACACTGAAGGGAGTATCTGTGGTCGCAGTAAAAGAACAAACCCAAATTTGTTTGAATCTTTTTAAAAATTTAGCCAGAATTGGGCAATTCTGGTGGTGCAGGGATGCATGTTTCTGTGGGTGTGACAATAGGGAGCATCCCCCAGATGAAGTCCTGGGAACAGGTGGTCCCTGCAACAGGCGCAAGCCATGGGCATTGGCTCAGAGAAGTCTGTCGTCATCAATAGTAGTAGCACATTCCTATCACACCCTTTTCATCTTGCAAAGAACTCAAGGTGACTCACATGCTTCTCACAACAACCCTGCAAGGTAGTTTATGCTGAGAACCTGTGACCAGCCCAAAGTCACCCAGGGAGAGGTACATGGCTGAGCAGGGACAAGAACCTGGATCTCCCAAGCTCTTGTCCAACACTCAAGTCACTCTACCTGGTTCCGGACAGGATTTACTTTATACTTTGCCTTCTCCTGATAGCTGTCAAAAGGTGAATTGTCAATTCACGGCAAAGATGCAAGTGATCTTTGCTTGTGAATGGGACTTGAGGGATTTATCTCCCCTCAGCACTGGGGTCTTCAGGATTTGTTTGTTTGTGTTCCCAAATTTCTGCTCATTCCCAAGACTAGGCTCTGGGGCAGCCTGCTCTTTCCTACTGGAGTATGGAGAATGAACAGCTAGCTAAAAGTTTTAGAAGTTTTGGGAATGTTTTTTAAGCGGGGTTTCCCATGTTTGGGGTTTTTTTACACAGAACCACAGAAACCCCTCTAGTGAGTGCTTGGCCTGCCGGGGGCTGTCAGAATGGAAAAAGACTCGGGGGGGGTGGGGGAGAGGAAGGAGAAAAACATGCAGTTCCTGCTTGCAGCACAGAGTGGTTGCGCCCTGAGGTCCCTGGAGATGTCACCTGGTGCACAAAGGGGAAGGAGGAGGGGGCAGCCCATGGGAAGCCCAGTCGTCTGTTGGATGCACCATGGGCTGTTCCTCGGCGTACCAACACGCTGTCTTTTATTGCCAGGGTGTGTTGGTGTGATGTGGGAACCCACACGCCTGGGGAAGGCATTCCATGCCTGCCAGTGCAGTCCTGATCGTGGAGCCACATGTATCCGCTCTGGCCCCAAAGCCCACTGCTCCCTGAAACAAAAGCACTGACCCCTAGGCTTGGAACTGCCCCCCAAATTCCTCGATGGGGCCACCTTCCTTATTTCCTTTAAGCCCCTCCCAAACGCAGCCTTGCAATCACCCCCCAGACCAGCTTCCCGTGGGCTCTGAGCCTCACCTCCCACTGCTGCTTCTCTGTGTCGCTTTCAGAAGGCAGCCTGCTGGGAGAACGCACAGCCCGTAAACCGCTGTTCTCCATACAGCATGCATCCATCCTCGATGCTGACAAGACACTCACCCCATCATGCACATGCAGGCGGAGGCAGCAAACGTCAGCGCTCCTACGCGATACACGACCTCGGTGGTGATGATCTCGCGGCAGCAAGGGCAAATGGTTGACGCAGGCTTGCTCGAGAAGATTCCAGCAACCACAACCGGCGGAGCATCCGGGGAATAGGCTAAGGATCAGGCAAGGAACGGGTTCTGCTCGCCAACTTTCAGATAGCATTTATGCCCATTTTACAATTATCAGTCCTTAACTATCACATTCAGTATAAATAGGGCTTGTCAATTTAGGACTGGCTAGTTTTGAGAGACCTTTGATTTACTCTTTGCTATATGGTTTCTTTGTTCTGAATTGACTGTAGGCAGATATAGGGTTGCCTTTGAATTGTGGGCTGTCATTGCATGTGAATCCTGCACCATGGTTTAATTATAGGTTGTTAACCCAAACTAAAGTTAATAACCTAGCAACAAACCATGGTTTCTCTTCCTAAGTAGTTTGTGGTCAACAATCCACAGTTAAACTGTTGTGCAAATCTTGCAGAGAAGGAAAACCTACAATTCAGCAACAGCAAACCTTATTTAACCCATACTCTAGGTGGTTATTACATGCAAACTAGACCTATGCCCTAACGCCAGCCTAAGATTTATTTAACCAATGCATCATTGATGTGAGATTCTGAGACAGTGTCAGGCCTGGCCAGAGACCAGAATAGCAGCCCTGGTGGTTGCAAGATTGGGCCAACAGTCAATGCAGCCACCTGGGCTGTTACGAGCAGCACCTGAGAGCCCTGAGGGAAGAGCTGTAGAAGAACTGGCTCTTCTCTCCAGAGGCTGCCTTGGCAGTGAAGGTCTCTGATGTTGGAGCTCTCTGTGCCTTCTAGAACCTGTTCCTGGAAACTGCCTGTCACCTTGCTCCTGCCTCCGCTTCTGGACCCTGCCCAGCTTCTTGGTCTTCACCTGCTCCACCTTCCGCTCCAGTCCCAAGCCTTGACCTCAGGACCACTTGACTGCGATTTGGAATAGGTCCTCGTAGTGGACTGGTTGTCTGGGTCCTGGTGCCCGGATCCAATACTCAGCCACCAATGCCCTGGACACTGACAATTGAATTCTGGGTTGTCAGGTTGTGTGAATCCAGCTGTGCCAACAAGTTACATCTTGTTGACCACAAACAACCCAGAAAGAGAACCTACGACATGTTGGGTTGTGAACTCTGGGATGTTTAAACCAAGGGTTGTTGCTCCATGTGAACCCAGAACCATGGGTGGTTCATTGCTTATTTCAATAAGGCTACAGAGGTGGCAGGCAAGAGCTGGAAGAAAGCAACAGCAGCTGCTCTGCACACCCTGGCGCTGCTGCTGCGGCAAAGGCATGTGAAATGCAGGCAAGGGATGAGAGGAACAACCAGGGACTGAGAAGAGGAACCCCAGTCTGCTCAGCCATCTGCCAGCTAAACTCCTGCTAGGCAAAAAATTGTGGGTGAGCACTGTGTGCGAGTCATCAAAGAGAGCATGAGCCCTTGAAATACGGAATCAGGAAGTGCTGGCACACAATAAGGAAAAAAGCCCCCCCCCCCCCCGCTTAGTCTTTTGTTCTGTGCCACGGCCAAGGCGGAGTGATGCTGTTTCCACAGATGAGCATGGGTGGGCGGGGGAGTTACCCTTGCAAATCGACGAGGCCTCCTAGTGGGCTTTCTCAGCTTTAAGGAAAAGCATTTAACTTAGCTGAGCATTTTCGAAATGAAGCCTGAGAAAATAGGAAACTTAATGAGAGACCATCTGGATGCCTCCTTTTAATAGCAGGCACACATGAACACACACGCACATGCATGCACACTCTGAGATTTGCCACCCAGGGTTTGAGGGGGTCATTCATCCCTTCCCAGAACCTCGGAAGCCGGGGAGAATGTTCGGCCAAGCTTCCTTCTCTGCCCTTCCCGCTCCCCCCAGGCGGGAGCAAGTCTCAACACCGGGAAACCTCCTCTCCACCTGAGGCCATGGAGCACCTCCCCGGATAGTCTGCCCGGCCTGAATCAGTTGTGGGCTTACTGGGCTTACTGGGCAGTGGAGACAGGGCTCGCAGGGATGCCGCTTGAGCCAAGCACAAGGAGAGGCCAGGCTGTTTCGAAGTATGATTCCCACCATCCGTCACCACTGGCCACACTGGCACATATGGGAGTTGTAGTCCAAGGGTGTGAGGTGGCTTCTGCCCAGTGAAAGCAATCCTGGAATGTGACAGTGAGACTTGGGCGCATGCAACATGCACCTGGCCTACGGACAGCCACGTTTCTGTACTTACTTGGTCCAACTCTGTCACAAGGGACTTCTTCACAGGAGTATGGTGGGGGAGACGGACAGTCGTAGCCAGAAGTGCCTGCGACAAGAGCGGGGGACAGCAAAGAAGGGACATTCAGCCACGCGGGACCCCACAGGCAGCAGGAGCTGGGGCTCCGCGCAGCCCAAGGGAGGCCACATGCTTCCTCAGGCCCATTGCTGGGTGCACTGTTAAAATCACGCTACTGTGCTCCTAAATTTGCCATTTTGGGGGATGCAGCCCTTGTCCACAGCCTCACCCGCTGATGATGAAAAGGAGAAACAGAGCTCCATGTCGTCAGCATTCTGATGGCAATGCAGGCAATGCACTCTCGAACTCCAGATGACCGCACTCAGTGGTTTCATGTAGATGCGGGACGGGACAGACCCCTGAGGAACGCCATGCTGGAGCATCACAGGGCTGAACACTATTCCCCCAGCGCCTCCTTCCGGAGTGGACCCTCCAAGTAGGAGCAGGACCACTGCAGTGCAGGGCCCCCTGCTTCCCTCTCGGCCAGCCCCTCGGGAAGGATGCCAGGCCCATGGGACTGAAAGCCACCAGGCGGCCCTGCAGTATCAACTGAGTTGTACCCCCCCCCACCCCCATCTCGCTTCTGGCACAGGTGGTCATACAGGGTGACCAAGGCTGTTTCCATGCCACAACCAGGCCTGAACCCCAGCTGAAATGGATCCAGATAATCCGTCTCCCCCAACAGCACCTGGAGTTGCTGGCTGCCACCCTCTCTAGAGCCCGGCCCAGGAAAGGAATATTTGCTGCCAGTCTGTAGCTCAAATTTTCCAGATCCAGGGAGGGTTTCTCGAGAAGTGGTCTCGCCACCACCCCTTTAAGACAGCAGGGGACCACTCCCCCTCACAAAGAAGCCTTGATGACCTCCCTGGCCTGCTGGTGATCCCCGCCTTACTGGCTTTTATAAGCCAGAGGGGCAAGGATCAAGAAGAGGGGTGCTGGCATGAGCCTGCCTGAATCCTCGAGCTGTACCAGCTGAAACTTATCCAGTGAAACCAGAGCAGACTGCTCTGGATATCTCCACCCATTCAGCTGCTCCAGCTCTGGTGTCTGAGTCCCAGGGGAAGCAACAGGCTTTTTCTTGGGAGAGTCCAACAAGTAGATCACAGTGGTTCCAAGGCATTGCTGGGCTGGACCACAATAAGCCCCGGACAACCTTAAAAGCAACTCTGGGCGACCAGGAAAGGATTGAATAGAGGCAGCGAGGATGTTTCTTTGCTGCCCTCACTGCCTCAATTGCAGGCACAGACCAGGTTCCTGTTGCATTTGCTGGGAGCGCTCCATCTGCATGCCAGCTGTCTCCCCACTGTTGGAAGGAGCGCCTTGCAAGCAGAAATGGGAGGGTTACATTTTTAATGCTTCCCCCAACCAGTTCTCCTTTCTACTTGGCCTGTTAGTTTTGCATGGGCAAGCAACAATTCCTTCTTGCTCATAAGCATTCAAGGTATGCTCACACAAGTGGAACAGCCCAGCGGACCTCCTTCCATTTGAGTCCCGCAGTCATGTCATTCCAGGCATTTCCATCCCACCTCATGCATTCTACTATTTTTCTCCCCTGCCTTTTGACACCTGGTGATGGGATAAAGAGGAGGTTCTAACTTTTGCAGGCAGTTTTGAGTGCAGGACCAAGATGTGGTCAGCATTCCTGACTGATCCTGGTGTGCAGCTTTCCAGCCTAAAGCTTGCCAGCGGTGGCAGGCACGGCCACATACCCATGGCAGCAGAAGGGTCTGGGGCGGGAGGCATCTGCAGGTACGGATCTGGCGCCCATGGCTGTGGAGGGTACGGCTGCAGTGGATATGGTTCTGGTGAGTATGACGACGAATAACCTGGCGCGTACGGCTCCTGGCGGGGGTCAAAAGTGTCCATGGGGATCGAGGCGTCTTTCTTCATCTGCTGCATCTTCTTGGCTCGTCTGCAAATGAAGCAGCAAAGGCGCGAGGGCATCGGTGAGCAAAGAGGCTCGAACCCTCCCAGGCTGAGCTGCCGACCAGGGTCTTCTCTCCTGAGCCGAGTCTGAAGCAGGCACACCCGGTGCCTGCCAAGGAGCCGGATCCCCACAGGGGGCACTGATGAGCCCCCCCTGCTGCCCCCTCCACAGTTGCTCTGCCCCTGAACTGCTGAACCCCACGAGCCAAATCCTTCACATCACTGACATACAAGTTAATGGACGGTACTACATGTTTTGGAAGGTGCTTCCATTCAGACAATTGCAAAATGAAAAATTCTGAAAATGTGCAATCCAACGACTGTTGTTCCAACATGTTGCCAGAATCAATCTAACTCCCTTTGTAAAAATTGTAAAATTGTAAAAAATTGGTCCCGAAGAGAATGAAGCTGCCAGTCTCTGCCCTACTGTGTGCAGTATAGCCTCCCCAACCAGGTATTTGGAATCCCTTTAGCCCACGCGGAAAGAGAATGACTGCCGCGGGTGGGGCACGAGGTTGGGGAAGGCTAGTGCAGGCGATTCTGCTGGGCGTGGTTGGCAAGGATTTCTCCCTGGCGTTAATCGTTTTCCAGCCTGTGTTCCGGCAACGAGCACTTTCTCCTGCACATGTTCATTCTGGAAACGGGGATCCCTGCGCTTACTAAATGGTGCGCCCGATACAGCCATTTCCCTTTCCGTGCCATGCCATTGTGCACTTAAGCATGCCTTCCCCGACAGGAGGAGAGGAGCCTCGGAGCCTGGCCAGCCATCTCGTCCTGCCTTCTGTTCACATGACGGACCCCCAGCAGTGCTAGTGGGCGCCCGGCAGGCATGCCCCAGCACCTTCCTGCCCCATTCCCCAAGCTGCCTCTCATGCTGACGGGCAGCTGTGAGTAGTCTTCTCTGCAATGAATTAGTCAAAACTCCCTTTCAAGCCACCCCGAATTGCTTCCCTTCAGAAGTGTTGGATGACTGGGAATGGTGGAGATAGTAGCCCACTGCACCTGTGCAGTGCCCAGTCAGGGAAGCCCAGTGAACCCTGTGCCTTCCAGCTCCTTAGCCAAATCCTGGGGCTGTCCTTCTCAATGTGCTGACTCACTGTGCCTCTCCAGAGCCAAAATGGCCACCAACCCAAGCACTTGCCAGGGCCGTGGGCTCAGCTGTATGCAAAAACGCCATGGCTTCAGCGGTCGCCAGCTCCAGCTGAAGACCTTGCGTGGTGCTGATGGGAGGACTTCCAGAGCTGTGGGCAGCTCAGTTAGGTCATTCTAGTCCAGACGGACCATCGTTCTGAGAGTGCGTCTCTACATGAGAAACTTCTTGTGCACGCACAGCGGCAGCTTGCTGGTGCTCACACAGTCCTGTCATCCTCTGAAGCCTTTTCCTGGCTTTCCAAGCATTTCCAAGGTTTATTTCAGAGTGAAGAAATCCGGGATCATCCAGAATGAACTGCTAAGAATGGAAAACTCATGCATTTTTGCCATTCTGCTCTACTGTAGCTTCACTTCATGGTTGTGGAATGTAATACATCAAAAGGCAACGAAGGAAAAATGCAGGGGCAAATCCAGTCCAAATTTATGCAAAGAATCTGGAAAAGCCTTGGCAAAGCTGCAGGGCAGATACATCTTGTAGGAGGCTGCTAATTTCTGAAGTAAGCACTGGTGGGGGGGGGGGGGACAGACCCCCAGTGTCTGCATGAACTGGGAAAAACAGCTATTGCTCTGTAAACCTACATTTTATCAACAGTTGGGCCAGATGTTGCCATAATTTGAGCAGATCTAGGGCACCAGAGGAACAATTAAGTGCTGTACCTGCCAGACGTAAGGCCCAAGATGCTGGTGAGTCTGTTCAATGCCAGCTAAGGCTATTAGGGGAGGCTTGGGCAAGAGGCACCTCAGTGGGCCCCCTTCTTGAGTGGGCCGGTTTGTTCACACTCCTTGTCTCCAGCAAGGTTTCCTCACCGTTGCTGCTGCTCCCTCACTCACTGGTTGATCTAGGGAGGTGCTGATACTGCCCTACATGACTCTGGTGCACCCACAACTGGGGTACTGGGTCCAGTTCTGGGTTCTACATTATAAGAGAGACACAGATAGGTTAGAATCGGTTCAGGGCTGGGAGGGATGCCATATGAGGAGAGACTTTTCAGCCTGGAGAAGAGGAGACTCCGGGGGATCTCTTAGCCTCTTGACAGCTGCCCAAGCTCTGGGCCTTTTCTGCTCCTGACCAAGTCTGGATCCAACCCACTGATGTGTACACATAACCTGGAAAAAGCAGCTCCTTGGAGGGCTTGTTATGATGGGCTTTCAGCTCACTTGTCCTTTACTCAGCTCTCCCATTTCTTGTGTGGCACGTGGTGCTTCCCTTGCTCCAAACCTACCTTACCAGTGGGATGTTCTGGCTTGTCCTCACTCTCCACCCCCAACAAGCATCAATGATGCATAATTGCATGGGCCACTCCCCTCCCTCCCTCCCTCCCTCCCCAGCATCCCACTTGCCTGGTCTGCAGGCTAAGCTGCCTGATAGCAGCCACCTGCCTGAGAAGGGCCTCTGTGAAGGGCAGGAGGGAGCTGCAGACCTCCTTGGTCCACCCCCCTCCCCCCGCCAGCCATCGGAGGCCTGCCAGCACCTGGTGAGCTGGGCATGCACCAAACTCCCATCTCTCCTCCTGGTTCCCCAGCGACTTGTCCTCGAGGCATTTCCTGCCCCTGCCGCAGAAGGGCAGGCAGCCCATCACGTGTGACGGTACTGACAGAGGCCCACAGGAAGCTGCCCTGTGCTGATCCCAGATCCGCCCAGCCCAGCACTGGCACCGGGGCTCTCCAGGAGGAGTGAAGCTGGGCCCTCTGGAGCCAAGCACGGCCCATGCCCTGAGGGCCGGTCCTTCCTTCCACGCTGCAGCAGCAAGCGTGTTTCTCAAGAGAGTCTAAGGGATGCCCCAACCTCTGGCTGCCCAAGGAACAGATCCACAAGGTCTAGGGCACACCCGGACTCCCCTATCAAGGATCGATGGTATGGAGGCGCTTTGGATGGACCCAGCCAGGGTGGAAGCACAAACCTGCTTTTATGTTCGCCACCCAGCTGACTCTGCAGCTCTGGACAGAATCCCGCAGTTGAATAGGCCGTGTTTACGCCATCGCACCCAAGCAGGAGGCCTTCCTCAAGTATCCCTGGCAGCCCAGCCCCTGACTAAATACTTGCAGCCACAGGCAGCCACCCGCCTGCCAAGGTGGTTGGTTCCATTGTATGGCTGAAGCGCCCAACCTGCTGAAGCTCAGCAGGTCTGGGGCTGGCCTGCGCTCGGAGGGGAGACCACCTGGGGCCTTGAATGAGCGGGAACAGACTGTGGCTCTGCCTGTGTGAGAACCCCTTAGGTACTCCGAGACCACCACCCATTCCCCATCACCTCCTCTCCTCTCCTCTCCTCTCCTCAGGGCTGTCCACATAGGATGTACAGGTTTTGTCTCCTCGTCATCTTTGCTACCCTTCTCTGGACTGGTTTCAGTCTGTCTGGATCTTTCTCAGTGGAGCGTGTCCCAGGACCATAACCTGCTATGGCTTCTTGGTTGCAGTTCCAGAACAACAGTAAGTGCCCTTAGTGACCAGATGCAGTTCCTTCACACACAAATGATGTGTTATGCACCTTTCTAGGATGGAACTGTGTGTTCCAGAGAAATTCAAAGCACTGACCTCACTTCAGGATTTCAATCTTTTCCAATTTGATTTAGGAAATTTGCTTTGGAAATTTAACTAAGGTACCTTCAAAAGAAAATGCAAAGCCACTTATGACTGAAATTGGATGCTTATTTTCCTGGCAATAAACCTACAGAGCTCAATGGAACTTACTTCTGAGTAGACCACTCAGTAAGGCGACATGCCTGAAACTTCCAAAGCTGTAAGCTTGCTGTGCTTTACTGCAAAGCAAACATGTAAAGAATTATGGTCCTCACTGTGAGAGCAATACAAGAGTGGAACCAGCTGCCCGGAGTCGTGGTGGGCTCTCCCACACTAGAGGCATTCAGAAAGAGGCTGGGCAGCCACCTGAGTGGGGTGTCCTGCAGCAGCCGGGGCCTGGACCTGGTGGCCTTCCTGACCCCTTCCAGCTCTGCTATTCTGTGATTCTATGATGAATTAAGGCCATAATGTTAGACATCGGCAGTGCTGTTTCATAATGGCAGAGCCCAGTGCCATGGCCACTGATCCATACCTCCTAGGAGATCAGTCGTTCTGGGCTGGCTCAGCTCCTGGCAGTACCCAGGAAGCGTTACCTAAACAAACAATAAGCAAGGCCTGAATAAGCAAAAATGGCATTTTCTTGTATCCATTTCTTGACAGTGACCTGTCTATGTTTGCTTAGGGACCTTCACCGATGACTTCTAGGCTGATATCAGATAAGCATTGATGGACGGACCACCCAGCAACCCGTCTCAGTGCTGCTCCTTCTGAGTTTTCGTCTCCCTCGCACTCTCAAACAGCAAGCCTGGTACCACTGCCAGGAACACAAAGGGTGTCCATACCTCTGCAGACTGAGGGCCGGAGCAGCCAGGAGGTCTTCCCCAGATATCTGGTCACTTCACCCGCAGGCTGGCTTCTGAGCAGTCCCAGGGCAGGGAGAGAACATGCTACTGTCCCAGGCTCCTGCCAAGACACAGGCAAGGCACGCAGGGGTGGCTTATCTCCGTGTGAAAGGCAGGAAGGGAATAATGGTAGGGAGGCAGCATTTAATTACTCCCCTCCCCAGGTTAGTCAAGCGCTCCAGCATCCTCCAGACACTTGGTTGGCTGCAAACATCCTATCAAGTTATGTAGGAAAACAGGTTTGCTGGGAGGGCCGGGACAAAGCTAATTTGTCATGTGTGGAATAACTGGCTGTGCTTTACACGGGAGTTAATTGAAGATAATCCAGGGATGCCTTGTTAAGGCTGACTGTGCCACAACATGATAAGCAGCATGTCACAGGCATTTTATGCCCATCTGTCACCATCAAAAAAATGCCCATTGCCCTGTTAAAAACCCATTTTAAAGAGGCCTGGATTTTGCAGGGCTAGCCGTCAAAACTCCTTTCCCCAGAAAAGCCTTTGCCCTCCCCTGAGGAACATGACTGATTCTTGAAGGAAAGTGTGAAGCATACAATACCCCGAGGCCAACCAAAGCTAAAATTAAAAAGATCAGGAAATTGCCACAAAGGAAGTGCAAATCTGACCACCACCAATTTTGCAAGGAAAACACTCTCCCACCATCACCTGCTTTTGACAGCTGTCACAAGAAAGCAAAGCAAAGAAAAAATTCTATCAGAAGGCTCTTTGGGTCAATGTCCAGACTGGAAGATGCTGCATATTGACAGCAGCCGCCCACTGTAACATTGCCCAGCTTAGTTCCCCGTTTCCTCCTCCTTGGAACGGCACACAAATTTTTTTTTTAAAAAAATGTGCATATTATTGGCAAGCGAGGCCTCCAAAGTGCTGTCGAAGCACTCTGAAGAATTATCGCTGATGAAACATGGCTATCAAGCCAGGAAAGAAAGCGAGGCTAACAAGGGAAAGAACAAACTAACGCGCTCACATCCACGGGCAGGAGGAGCTGCCGAACAGATCCAGCCTGGGGAGGAGCAAGAAGGAAGGACGGGGAGGCCAAGAATCCACGGTGAGCCAAATGATCTGCCAGGTGTGCCGTGGGTTGTTCTCAGAGCAGAGTGCCTACTGTGACTGGTTGCCAAGGCAGGTGGCTGCGCTGTGCCAGTGCAACTACCTGGGCTCTTCAACACAAAAGGCTCTTACATCTTTTTCATCAGCACAGGTATCACTCAAAGGCTCCACCCTCTTTGTTGCAACTCCAGGAAGGAGTCCATTTCTCCCTTCACTTGAAAAATAGTTTCTTCTTAATGAGCAGTCTTGGCATATCCAAACTTTGAGTCAGCATATGCGATAGAACTGTTTTTATGACACATGAGGTGCAATTTCCACACTTGAAAATGAATTTGTTCATTTTATGATTGGATGGTTCATTACTTTTATGGGTTTTTTAAAGAAATTAGTTAATTTCCAAGTTTCTGCTCTGGGCAGTGTTTTTTTGCCCAGTCGAAAAACTGCTGTCCAAGGCAAGTTGAGTGCAACAAGGCTGCCATTATCTGCCTCAGTGCTGTGCCTGCAGGCTCCGTACAGCCGAAGTCCGCCTCGGCGCCCC